CCATGCGTCGCAAAGAGGCCTTGCAGCACCCGGATGACGGCCTCGGTAGTGGTGAAGGGCATCAGGGCCACCTCCAGCCATTTGGAATAGGCGTCTACCACTACCATAAATGTCTGGCCGTGAAAGGGGCCGGCCAGATCGATGTGTACCTTCGACCAGGGTGTCTTGGGCATCTCCCAGGTGTGTCCCTTAGCTGCCGGTGGCGCAGGCCTCGATTCTTGGCACGCTTGACAGGTGGAAACCCAAGCAGTGATGGCATCCTTACTGCTCTCTCCCTGGGGTGAAAGGGTGAATTACTGGTTTTTGTCTGCATCTCAGAGAACAGCCTCTGAACTGAAAGGAAGCTGCCCAGCTAAAACACTTCTTATCACCTGCTGACACACAAGAGGAATTATTTGAACATATTGCCCCCTCCCCCAAGTCTTAAGAAAATCTTTTCCAAGGACTTAGGGCTAATAGGGACATATTTCTAAAAGACTTAATGGTAAAAATGGACCCATGGTCAGTTGTTTCATAGTATTATTATTCATGCACCCAGTATATTTAACTTTTATTATTCATTGTCCTATTTGTGTTATTGTCCGTTGTCTCCTTATTACATACAGTATATTTTTTAACATTGCAAGTATATGTTAATATTTATGGGTCATTTTGCTGATTGTGTTCTTCCATATAGGAGCCCTGATGTTCAGTTTTGTCCTCTGGATGCTGTAACAAACACCTCATCATGTAATTAATTAACTATACCAGATACCCATATAAGCCTATAATTCTCATGTAAGCCTGAATTTCAGCTTTCCTTGTACACCACCCCCTTAATCGCTGGCAATTTTCACTTATTTTCTTTTAGCACATAAAGAGTATGATGGCCAAACTTTTCCCACCAAAGGTTTCGAAAACTGCAAAACAGCAGAACATGATGGAAAGTTGCCACATAGAGGCCCCTGCATTGTACTTGGCTTTTTAATTAAGTGTTAGTTTATTGGCAAAAGGTAGAAGATTTTCTACTCAACTGCATTTTCCAAAAAAGGGTAAACTATCTGCCCCCTTTTTAACATGCCAGTTAAGAAGGGCTTAAAATTGGTTCTTTACTGAGAACATGTCCAAAAGACTCTGAAGCTGAATTGTGCTAAAACAAGGGGTGTTGCTATGCTGCGTGCCGGCTTATTTCAATCTGATAGGATATAGCTCTCATTATAGAAGGGGTTTGATTTGGCACCAAGCATGCTGGCATGTGTTAAGCACGTTGTGTAGCTGGGCTCACACCATAGGTGAAAAGCCCTTTGGGGCTACTCTAAAATTCTGTGTCTGCTTTTCCCCCAAGATACTGCTCCAAAAAAGAATAAGGATGATCAGAGAATCTACAGAGTTGTTGAGTTGGAAGGGACACAATAGCACAACCCCCTATAATGCAGGAATCACAACTAAAAAATCCACTCTAAAAACTTCCACTGAAAGAGAGTCCACTGTTTTTTCAGGTAGTCCATTCTACTATTGGACAGCTCTTACTGTCAGCAGTGGCAGAGGAAGGGGTGTGTGGTAGGGGCGGTCCACCCTGTGTATCACCACGGGGGGGGGGTGACAAAATGCCGGGCGGCACTCACCGCGGGGCCTGCAGCGCGCCTGAGACACACGACTCTCCTGGGAGAGACACGGTGGCTTCGGTGCGCGCAGACTCCACGCTGCCCAAACAGTCCGCCTGCTGCCTCCCCCCCAGCCGTAGGGCGGCTGAGTAGGAGGAGGCAGGCAGACTCCCGAAGCCCCGTGGCGCAGCTTCCTCCTCTGCTGACTGTCAGAAAGTTATTCTTAATGTTAAGTCTTGTAATTTGAACCCTACTCTGGAGAAGCAGAAAACAAGCTTGCTCTATTTTCTATGTGACATGCAATAAGAACGTATAATGTAGACTAATTTCACAGCATGAACCCAAATATACAGTCACTCCATTTTGTATGAACAGTCATGAGCCTTTGAAAGTTGTCACTGGTAAGGGGGTGAATATTATTCTATTATTATTAATAAAAATTTATAAGATTCATAAGTTCATAAGATAAATTCTATGTTATTATGTTATATTATGTTATATATTATATATTATGTTATATTGCATTAAACAATAACAACCTTATAAACAAACTGGATGAGAATGGCCCCTGTATAGTGCAGCTGGATCCATTGTCTCACTCTATTAAAGGCAACTGAACCCCAGGCCACCTCTGTGTGGGAGAAACATTTATTGCAAGTAAATAGATCTCTTGTCTCTTAGCTGGGGGTGGGGAAACTAAGCTTGAAATAATTAAAGCTGCTATTGAAGGATTGTGGGCTTTAGTTCCCCCCTTTACAATTAAATAAGGTCCTAATTAAAGTAAAAAACCAAACAAAAAACTTTAGATGGGTGCATGTTTTGTTCATACATGCCTGAAGTGTTTACCTAGCTTTCTGAATGTTGTGCTTTCAGCAAAAGGTCACCTATGATACCTTTTGGAAGCAGGTACCCAGAGAGGTAATGAAAGCAGAGTGAATAAAGGATACTTCCTTTTTGAAAATTGGAGTGGAAGTGACTATTTCTATCATATACTGGATGACTATGTGAATATAAGTTTATTGATAGCTATGACAGAGCCAATAACAAAATTCAGACAGCTGATGCTCTTCTGAACACCAGATGCTAGGTATTATCAGCAGGTGATAGAGGTGGGCATGAGGGTAGATTGCTCTAGCATGCCCTGTCTGTGGACTTCCATGAGAAATTTGATTTGACCACCTTTGGCCAACAGAATACTAGGCTTAAGTTGTCAATTATATGAACAGTCTATGTCAACTGCAGGCCTATGTTCCATTTGATTATGAGCCTACATGTCGGAACAGGCTTTTGGGCTGGCTGTGCAAAATATTTACACATATCCTACCCTGCAGCAATTGCAGCCTCTGAGCATGATGTGGTGCTGGTTATGCAGCAACTTGGGCTTGCCAATCAGAAGGTCGGTGGTTCGAATCCCTGCGATGGAGTGAGCTCCTATTGCTCTGTCCCAGCTCCTACCACTCTTCAAAAATATTTGCACTGGCGTTCAAAAGCACACCAGTGCAAGTAGATAAATAGGTACCACTGTGGCGGGAAGGTAAACGACATTTCCATGCGCTCTGGCTTCTGTCATGGTGTTCTGTTGTGCCAGAAGTGGTTTAGTCATGCTGGCCGCATGACCCAGAAAGCTGTCTGTGGACGAACACCAGTTCCCTTGTCCTGAAAGCTAGATGAGCGCCGCAACCCCATAGTCGCCTTTGACTGGACTTCGCAATCTAGGGGTCCTTTACCTTTCACCTTTTATGCAGCATCTAGTAATCAAAGTTAGATTTTTGTTTTTAATTTTTAAAAAGCATAATCAATATTACAAAACATAAGAGTACAATTGTATTTTCCAGATGAATAGAGAGTCAATAATGTCACAGAGACTGGATTATGACACATAAAGGAAATCTCACCAAATGGCATCTTCCTTACCCTTAGAAATGTGTAATTTGTGAGTTATTTTCACTGCAGTAGCCAGTCTACATTTTCTTGAACCACAACGGGAGTTTAAGTTATGTACTGGACCAAATAAGTTATCACTGCAGCCAACATCCAAATAAGAAGTTCCTTAAATCAGAAAGTTGCTGTTTGATCATTCCACAGATTCAAAAGGGCAAATTGAGGGGAGGCCTGAATGGAAAATTTAATTTTTAAAAATATTTCTTTAAAAAGTCAGTCCAGAACTTAGTAGATGCCAGAGGGCATTCCCATTGGAAGTGAAAAAATGTTCCCCTGCTACCGCAACCACAACAACCTGTGGGGTATTTGAAATCATATGAGAAACTGCACAGAAGTACAGTGCCACCTGTGCAGAATTTTTAAGGAATATTCCCTTACATAAGTTGAGGTTGATTTACAGATTGTAGGTGTCCATATTGCATTCCACTTAGGGACATCTAAGTGGAGGTCCTTCACATAGGTAACTTTAAAGCCTTCTAATGAACCTTTAGAGATATCAAGAAGTTCCTTATAAATGATAGACCTGGGATAGCTCAGTTGGTAGAGCACGGGACTTCATAATTGTGGGTTCAAACCCCATGTTGGGGGTTGTACTTAGATGACCCTTGTGGTCCCTTCCAACGATTATATGAATTTATAACAGATACCAGTTCTCTGCCTAGATGACCCAGATTTAATAAATCCTTGAAATTTAATGAGAGGTCTAGTCTCTTTTGACTCAAGGGCAGGATCAGCCTGTAATTATTGTCACTTATAGATAAATAGCCAATTAAGCCCCGAATTTCCTATGACTAGCCTGACTTGCTATGTTCTGTAACTTTGATTATTTTGTTTTGTTTCGTTTGTAATTTTGATTTTGCATAAAAACAAAGTTAGACTACATCTCAACATTTGGCTTCCATTCCTAGCTATCATAGACCTATGTATCAACAGTTTTTATCCATCTTCATGAACTTGATTTTAAAAGAAAACGCCACTTTACAGTGTCACGTGGCAATAAATGTTAAAGGCTGTTGATACTTGCACCAAGAAAGTACTTCCTTTTCGTTTCCCTTGAACCTGCTTCCATTCAGATTCATTAAATCCCAAGTCCTAGCATCCTCAAAGCAGGGGCGGATACCCTGCGACCCTCCCAATGATGAACTTTCATCAGCCTCATCCTCATTGCCAACAGTCAGGGATGATGGCAAATATAGTCCAGCAATATCTGGAGGGCTACAGTTTAGCCACCTGTCTTAAATTAACTTCTCTCTACTTACCATTTTGATGATTTTTCACGATTTTATATACCTCTGTCATACCCCTCCTTTCCATCCTGGTGCACCTCCTCCTTGGAGCAATCTGTGAGCAAATTGCTCGGTATTATTCCTTAATGACTTATAATTTTATTTCTTATGACAAGCTGCTTCAACGTGTTTGTGAAAGGCATGAGCTGCTTTTGCTGGCACTGATGGAACCCTTCATTATCTTTTACAGGAATTGCCTATCTTGGAGGCATCTGCAGTGCGAAGAGGAAGTGTGTTCTTGCAGAAGACAATGGGCTGAACCTGGCATTTACCATTGCTCATGAATTGGGACACAAGTAAGAGGTCACCATTATATTTGCAGCCGTGTCTGAGGGTGTTGTGACTAGGGCTGTCCATACAGGTTATGGACTGCTGTTGTTGTTGCAGCAGCTAGTATTCCTAGTGAAATTTCATATTTGTTGTGACTGGATGGTAGTGAGTATTTCTTAAGCAAAGCGTAAGTGAACTTCCAAAGAAAACCAAATATTTCAGTGAAACTAAATTAGTTCACCATTTCCCAAGGCGGTCTCTGGATTTTACCAATTTGATATTCGAGGTCATTTTGAAAGTTTCCACCTTTAGATGAATTGCCTTAAGGAATTCTAAGAAAAGGCAAAAGAGTTTCTGTAAGACCAGCAGAACAACAACAACATTTCTTAAGCATGCTTTTGTACATTGCTAATGTACACTCTGACAATCGATAGAACCTTTATTATAGATGAAGTTTATATTTACACAAAGTTAGCATTGACTGCCCCTACAAACTTCAATCATTCCTCTACTGTCCAAAAACCTTCTGGATCCAGCAAATAATAGCAAATCAAAACTGCATTTTTAAAAATCCAAATGTGAATAATTGTTGAAATGCAGAAATCTAAAATGTTGAGTAGCATATAGGTCTAACTAAAATTGCTGGTATAAATTAGCTATTTGTTTTGAAGATTTGCATTTAATAATTAAAAAAAATTAAACAATGCAAATACATACTTATGATTAAGCTGTGTCTTAGTCATGTTGGTCATTATGATACGGTTGATGGCTGTCTGTCCTTTGCAGTATTCAAAGTCGGCAGTGCTGCCTGAAGCCTGATAGACCATGGTTATAGAGAATGCATTGCTGTTGCACTGTATCCTACAAATATCCCATAAGCATAGGTTTGTTCAGGCTTGGGGCACACAACTATCTATCATCTATCTATCTATCATCTATCTATCATCTATCTATCATCTATCTATCTATCTATCTAATCTATCATCATCTATCTATTTGATATAGCATGTACTGATCCATTAAAAAAAAGCAACTCACATTGGTTTTCCACTGATAAAAAAGACTATGTTGAGCTTAAGGATAAAGAATTTCAATAGTTATACATCAGTGGAGTAGATCCTTTTAGGTAAAGGTAAAGGACCCCTAGGGACGCGGGTGGCGCTGTGGGTAAAACCTCAGCGGCTAGGACTTGCCGATCGCATGGTCGGCCCTTCGAATCCCCGTGGTGGGGTGCGTTCCCGTCGTTCGGTCCCAGCGCCTGCCAACCTAGCAGTTTGAAAGCACCCTTAAGTGCAAGTAGATAAATAGGTACCGCTTACCAGCGGGAAGGTAAACGGCGTTCCGTGTGCTGCGCTGGCTCGCCAGATGCAGCTTGTCACGCTGGCCACGTGACCCGGAAGTGTCTGCGGACAGCGCTGGCTCCCAGCCTATAGAGTGAGATGAGCGCACAACCCTAGAGTCTGGCAAGACTGGCCCGTACGGGCAGGGGTACCTTTACCTTTACCTTTAAAGGACCCCTGGACAGTTAAGTCCAGTCAAAGGCGACTATGGGGTTGCGGCACTCATCTCGCTTTTAGGCCGAGGGAGCTGACGTTTGCCCACAGACAGCTTTCCAGGTCATGTGGCTAGCAGGACTAAACCACTTCTGGTGCAACGGAACACCGTGATGGAAACCAGAGCACACAGAAACACTGTTTACCTTCCCGCCACAGTGGTACCTATTTATCTACTTGCACCGGCATGCTTTCGAACTGCTAGGTTGGCAGGAGCTGGGACAGAGCAATGGGAGCTCACCCCGTTGTGTGGATTCGAACCGCCAACCTTCTGATCTGCAAGCCCAAGAGGGCCCAGTCCCAGGACTGACTTTACGAACTTCTGCAAAAGGTCAGAAAAAGAATCAATGATTCTATTTTAAACTCATACACTTGCATACCACAAAAACTAAAATGAAAAGGGAAGAAGGGAAAAACCCTCAAAAGAAATCATTGGACACAGATCTGCAAACATTTTTAGTGTTTGCATGGTCCTGATGATGCATTACCTTTTAATAACAAATATTTGCTTTAAAGTCAATCTTTAAGAAGAAGAAAATCTTTGCTGAGTTTAGAAGCAACATTTCCCCCAAATACATATTTTGAATACTTAAAGGAGTGGGTGAAGTTTGTATGGGGTTCTACATCATGCCTTCATGTAAAAATGAACTCCACTCATAATAATCATAATATATTTGAGGCTTATTGTACCTGATAGTGTTCAGTAACTGTAAAAAAGAAATACGTGGCTTCTCAATTCTTGATGGAGTACTTGGGGCAGGTACAGGAAATATTTCAACTCCTACCAGACTTGACAAGATGAAAACGAATGTCCTGTTCCCCTTCCGTTGACACTGAAAGGCGGCCGAGCCAAACTGGGAATGGTTTCAACAGAAGTGAACGATGGGAAGCCTTGTTTTTATTTGAACCATATGAACCAGGCTGTTATATCAATTCTCAGCCTTAACAACACACTAATCTTTGAGTTGGAGGGTGAGAACACCATTGTTCTGTGTCAAAAAGATTTTGCAGAAACTAGCTCAGTAGTTTTCCAGCTTCTGAAGAATCCACATTTATCATCACCATCATCAATATTATTATTTATTAGATTTCTTAGACATGGTTTACAAAACAGTCTCAATGTGGCGTACAGGCAGTTTAAAACATACAAAATATAAATAAAAATATAGCAAGGACACACAACCATTAAGCTTACCATACTAAAACCACACCATTCTACAAAAACCTGAAATACCACTCTCATAACTTCCAGTTAGACAGATGCTGGTAAAAAATTAATAATCAATCCATTAGTCTCGGGATCTGGTAGGTATTTGTCAGCTAAGTGTTAGGGTCCTGAGTTGTGTATGGCTTTATAGGTTAAAACCAGCACTTTGAACTGAATAATTAGCCAGCGCACTTGGTCCAGAATTGGTCATATGTGGCCAGACTGGCTGGGACCCATTATCAGTCTGGCCACTATATTCTGCACTGCATTCTGCAGTTTGCAAACCATCTTGCAAGGCAGTCCCATGTGTTATTGTAGTAACTTTACCTGGAGGCAGGTATTTTGGCACCTGAGGCAAACCACAAAATGGTGTGCCCCCTCCCCACCAAAGAAGGAGGGGTGAGTGAAGACCTACATCAGCGCACCCATTTGAAATCTGTCTCGGAGCCACTTCCTTTGTTACCTTAATGGCCCCTGCTTAGAGGGCCATTACCTCACCATGAAGCTAACCTGGCTACTCCAGAAAATGTAACTGTGCTGGATCCAGGAATTAGAAGGGGACTCAGGCACACAGACCCACCCACATCCTACAACTCATAACAGTATGCTTATATCTGTCGTATGGTTAGGTTCTTCTTTGTACCTGGTGCCTTCATTACATATCTTTAGATGCCAGGCAAAAAAATGTTCCTCTACAATTGGCTTTGGCCAATTAAACAATCTATGGCCTCTTGAACTGTGGGGGGGGGTATTGTTTTTGTTTTTTACCATGTTATGTGTTTTTCTGTTTTTATATTGTAAAATGCCCTGTGATCCTTGGATGAAGGGCAGTATAGAAATATAATAAATAAATAAGATAAAAATAAGATAATATATATACCCGGAAATTCCAATGGAGAAACATAATTCAGCACATGTAATATGTCTGATGAAAAGTTAGGTATCCTCCCCCCAAAGTTCTTTGCCAAAAATACCTAATCTTCCATATTTGTAGCTTTCAGCAAAATCTCTTGGTAGAGCTTCCTGGTGTGGGTTAAAAGGGTAAGATGTATTGCTGCTTGACAGGAGGAAAAACAAATGATGTCTGTTCAGATCAAAGTTTCAGTTTTGGCACTCACAAACAACCTCGGCTGTTACGTTGTGGAAAAAGTGAATGAGCTTACTAATTGATGTGTCGGATTCTGAAATCCTCCACTCGTGTTGCTTGGATTTACTGCAAAAACATTGCTACAGACAGCTGCTTTATAAAAAGTTTCAGGCAGAGTTTATTCTAATGAATGAATCCATTAGAGAGTGGATTAGTATATACATGAAACATCTCCTTGTGTATTGAAGCTATAGATTCTCACATTGCTCTCTTTCTTTCTTTCTTTCTTTCTTTCAACCCTGTTCTTAAAAAAAACTCCCCGCCTCCTATGGAAGTTGGGTTTTTGGAAGGCCACATATTTATTTTATTTATTTATTTTATTTTTCATAAAATTTATACACTACTTGATTGTAAAAAACCTTAAAGCGGTTTACAAAAAGATAGAACAATAAAATCGAGGGAAAAATAACAACCATACAAAAGTTAACATACTAAATTGGATTAAAATTACCTCAGCTTTTAAGCATCTGGGTAGCAGGTTCCAAAAAGGGTACAGTGAAGGTGTCTGCTTGATTTCAATAGGCAGGGAGTTCCCAAGTGCAGCTGCTACTACACTAAATGATTAAGTTCTTACAAATGCAGAACGGGTATTATATGGCACCTGTACCACTGCCAGTTCCAGCAATTAAAGCAGTTGAGTGGGCACAGGTGATATTTAGTAACATATGAAAACACTCGTAACCAGCTAGTTTGTGAAAATCCAGCATCCACATTACTAGTTGTTAAGATAAAGAGGAAGTCCATTGACAATGGTTTTAAGAATGGAGGCAGGAGGCACAGAATGGAGGCACAGAAACATGTGAGAAAGAACCACATTATTTTGGCCCAATATACTTTATAGTCCACCATTCTTTCAACACTCTTCCACTTGATGCTCCTGAAAAGCAGAGTTTGGAGAAGATACAATCCTCTGCTGTCTTATCCTCACAAACTGGTATATTGCTTCTGTTCATGGTGCTATTGTTAAAGGTGCTATTGTTAATTGATTTGGAAATCCAGATTTTTTAGTTAGGCAGCACCAGATAATGGTGTTATTTAGATGCATTTGAAAACGGATTTAAACTATTTTCCTTTGTCTAGACAGAATAATGGACAAAGGGCCCCTTCAGACTGTTGTTT